ATAATGGTCATAGCACTGATTACGTGTCCACTTGTGCCAGCGATGTGACGGCCGCTTCATCAACTAATTATGAATTTTTGGTACATAAAGAGGGACGCACCATGTGTCGTGTCGTGACATCATTAGCCACATCTGGTCTTTCGCGACATGCCTTTGTCATTCTCACAATCGAAAACGCTGTTACTTCATCGTCCCACGAGTCGGAGAATTAGCCGTTTCGTCACCAAGAAATACTCCCACAGTACCCTCATTGTGAGTGTAGCCGACACCTCGTGATTCTTATGAGCACAAGTCCCCGTCTTTCCCATCGCATGGACCGCGCTAGTAGCGCCGATCTCGCGTCTTCGTCATCTTCGTCGCTATTTCGACGTTTTCAAAGCAAAAAAAGCGGCTCAAAAACTCCGACGGAGTCCCTTGCGTCGTCATTGCCACCTCCACGACATTCGCATCGTCGTATTTTGTCTAGAGACCGTAAACGCCCCATGGTTATCTACTACTCAAGTAATCCCTTAAATCTTGTCAATGTGCTTAAACTCCCTGCCTCCAGCGACATCGTGGACGAAGAATTGTCAACTCCGTGTGGTAACAAAGTTACAGAGTGTGATAACAACGGATTTGACAGTGCAAATGAACTAGATTTGACCTCTAGCATGACCCCTCGAGAGAATTTGGCCAGCAGTTATGGACCTGGACGTGCCCTTATGCGTATGTCTCAAACGTTTGGTCGCGCTTCCGAGCGAGTTGAGACTTGCTCAAGTGGAGAAGGACGTGCAGCAAGACAAAGTGTCAAGTACGATGTGACGTGGAGACAGGACGACGAGAGCGCATGTTGCCAAGTGTGTTTTGCTATGTTTACGAAACTTTCCCGCCGTCGCCACCACTGTCGTGTATGTGGCGAACTTGTTTGTGGCGCATGTTCGCAAGATCAAGTATCGCTATTGGATAAATTTGCAACGCCACGACGTGCATGTGTTGCGTGTTGCAGTTTACTTCAAGCTATGGCACGAGCACGCGACGATCGTGTCAAAATTATTGAATCGGACGCAACAACTGCCACTCCAATGAAACGACACAAGTCCGTACCAGTAAATTCTCACTCTAAATCGGCAACTCCTCGATACCGTGACCGACTAAATGAAGTGCATCGGGTGATGGCAGCTGGGAAGTTATCACGTCATCGGGGAAGTTCAGAGAAGAAATTGTATGTGATTTCTAGTCGCTGGGTGCGTAGCTGGTTGGCATTCACGTCATCAGCCTCGCGACGTCCCAACTCAATGTGCAGTCCTGACTATGGATTTGACACAGAGACGTCGCCATCGTCGCCTCATAGCGACAAAAGCAACATCAACTGTGCTCCTGGTCCAATTGACAATTTGTCGCTTTTGGAATTATCGCGTGGCAAGTTAATTCGTCGACTCGGTCTGACCCGCGATGCTACATTTGCTAGTGACGTTTCTAATGTCAGCGAAGACGGAGATTTTCAGCTTCTGTCACCTGAAGTTTGGGACGTTTTTCAACGCCTGTACGGCGGTGCACCAGCTATTTTCGTTGATCTCACGAGTAGCGACCCTTCGGCGTGGATTGTCGACGTCGCGAGTTTGCTCACGCATACAAATGAACAATTGGCACCAACAATTGAACGAGCTCTACTCACACGTCATTGTAGTGACAATTCTCTTTACGACTCGCGAACTCCGACACCAGTGACACCAGGAAGTAGTCGGTACTTTACACAACAGTCACCCAAGAGTCCAGCGTGGACAGTCACGAGCAGTATTTGCAGTTCGGTAGGGGAAGACAAAGAGCGGATGCAAAGTCCAGTAGGCAGTGCCAAAGTGCGAATTGAAGATCTTGAGACGGATCTTGCTACGCTGACGCTCAAGACGTCAGTAGAAGGAGAGGAAGAGATGCGAGCGACTTCTTCTGGACGGAGCCCCACGGCAGCGTTGGCAGCTTCAGCGTTTGCGGTGGCCATGAAACAGGCAAGACTGAATGCCCAAAAGGCCATTGATGACCGTGCCTCGCGTGTTATTGCTGCTTGACCTATGTCTAACGTGCATGTAAGTTAATTAAACTAAGTAGGTCTGTTGAAATTGCGACATTAATCATGTCGAGTACTAGGCTAGGGTACGTATTGTGGAGAATAAAAATTGTGAGCAAAGCAAAATACTATGGATCATGACGTTTTGCTGAAGGTGAGAAGATGACATTACAGTCAATGTGAAGATAAACTTTATCAAGTCTTGAGCCCAAAAGACACGGGCGAAAAGTGGAAATACAAACCTTGGTATCAGAGACAAAGACAAAGTAAACTTTAAATTCACCATACCAATCAATATCTCAAATTTAAACGGTTGTTGCATTTACTTGTGGTGTGGCAATAAAGCTTGAGTGGGAGTTTGATTTTAGTACCTTGTTCGCCTTAATAACGTCATCGTTCGTACCACCACGTTTTATTGCGCTGAGAGCTCTAATCGACTCGCACGGATGAAAATTCCATGGTCTGGAGCACAGCTAAAATACCGATGTCCATCCACTGTGCCATTGTTCTTGCCTTTTGGTTTACAAAGCTCAATACCGACCCATGTACCAGTGGCAAATCGTGTGGTTCCAATGTATCGCACAACACCTGGTTCAGTACCCAAGTGAATGATCTTGCCAATACATAATGGTGCTCCATTGATATAAACGACGTTGCTGCCTGAATGACGTCGAGCTGACGTTCGACTCGTTGATGACTTTTGAAGTGATCGATTCGAAGCCGAATCAATAGCTGGCATCGTGACTTGAACACTGTGCACATCGCCAGTTTTAGACAGGTACATATCTGTCAAAGAGTGAAGTGACTCACTTCGATGCAGTAAAAGAGGATCGGCGTTTGATAAAAGAGTCGATTTCAGTAATTGCGCTTCGATTTGTTTTCGCTGTGCACGTTTTCGCTGGTGCTGCTGTAGCATTTCCTGTCGATATTCGAGCGAAAAGGTATTCACTGGAAGTGATCGCCGTCGTTGTCCAGCTGCTGCATTTCGTTCAGCTCTTGTCGCTGTTTCATGTACGTGATCACGTGATGTCGAACGTTGAAGTGGTACTTGGCTAGGTAGATTTTGAGACCCAAAAAGGATAATTCCTCCTTCATTGATCGGAGAAGCTGGTATTGGACTGGATATAGTACTGCTGACACAACTATCTCTCTTCCTCCTCGAATGATGCTCAATAGACGAGTTACTTGCATTGCTACCACGATGTTTTGCTCCTTGCCATAAAGATTGAATGCGATCGAATGGTTTCGTCAGATTCAGTGGGCGTCGACTCGATCGACGAGATTTCATGTGAAATTTTGAGAACGCCGAATTTTTGTCCTTACGAGATGACGAGTCGTTGGTACATTTGAGAACACTCTCCATATCTTGAATGAGCTCATTATACACTAGTACGTCACTAGCGCATGTACTGGGTTGACGACTGTAGCGCGACAAATTTGAGTGATCGCACGAATAGTCGGACGTGACACTTATAGTGTCCGAATCGCGACGTTCGGGTACTTTATTTGATATACCAAAATTATACAAATCTTGAAGTTGCTTTTCCAATTGATCATCGGACATGGTCGCCGATGTTTTACGTGCTTCAGGTCGAGCCTTCAAACTCTGATCTTTTGTATTCGTGCTTTTCTTTTCGTGAGTAGGAATGTACAACGTCACTCCACCCGTTTTCGACACAACAATATCGTTTGAAGATTGTACCTTGGTGCTTTCTTGAGTGTGCCGTGGCACAGTGCGATTCTTTCGTGGATATACTACCATGTCTGTGTGAGAAGATGTGGCACCTGTACCATGGAACATAATGGTACGTGTGTGTCGTGACGCAAATTCAAGTGAAATATTTAGTAGACCGGTATTTCGAGCAAGTGGCAACCAGTGCGATCCAAGTCGACTAACGCCACTAACATTATTCTTTGAGGCCAGTAAAAACTCTTGTAATGGTACAATTGCTGATGTGACTACACTTTCGCCACAGATAATCTCGATGTTTAGCTCGCATGCACTGATATCGCCTGTAATACTCCTCCCTTTTCCTACCCCGTTCTCTGTCGACCCGAACGTCCAAACAAAGTGACCACATGTACCATCGCGACTTTCATTTTCCGCTTGACGCCACACCGGATTACTTTTGTTTCCTTTATTGTTGCATGAAGATTGTTGCATCGCTCCAAATAGGGTACACCGTATGCAAAAACGGTATTGATCATACACTGCATCAGTCATCGCGCAAGGCGCCGTAAGCTGACGGGCTTCGTACACCCACACGTGCATTTGACCTTCTAATTCGCCGTCGATAGGCTCATTTACTGTCGATAGAAGCATATTTGGCTCGTGAGGTGTGCCATAAGACGCGCGATTGCACTCGAGCATAGGCAGATCGTCGTCCTCGTCTTCATGTGGCTGTCTTAGCGAGATGCGTTCATTTGCCTTGTTTGCAGTGGCTACGGTAGACCTTACAAGCATGTGGTCTATTGGGGTGTAAAGTGGAAACTTGGTTGTGACTGCTCCTGGTACACACGTACGCCATCGTTTTCCGGATGTTACTGCTGCAAAGATTCGGTTGTACCTTCAGAAGAACTCGGTCGTTTCTTGAGCAATAATATGCTAATTAGTAGGTTTTATGAAAGTGTGTGTAAGTAGTTGACAATGCTAAACTCCAATGTGGCATCATTCAACTCAGATGCCTCTACTTTTAAGAGAATACAGTCTAGGAACCACTGCTTCTTTTTCGAAGTATCGGCAGGGTTCAGCCAAGTGATCATAAAACGTTCGCAAGCATGATTTGGCATGTATAAGTAGCAACTGTCGTCTTGAAGTCGATACAAGTTTCCACTCCCGGCCAATTGATTACTAAAGCTCATAGTCAATGCGAGAGTTTTGGAGGGCCAAGTCCTTGAAATGTTTGTCACTTTATACTATAAAGTGTGACATGAATAAACACAACTTTTGAAGCATGTACTGTACATGTAATATGGTCACGATATATGGCAGGTGTAAAAATTAAAAGAATATTATCAAGAGAACAATAACTTAGTCTCACAAGAGCAACCTTCTTTTCAGACATTGCTGCCTTTTAAGCAAACTGATATGTTATCGGTGCGTTTTATCATCAAATTGAAGTTTAATGTAAGGTTGCGTACGAATACTTGGTAAATTTTACTCATGTACTACTCTGTCGCAATTCCCCATCACTCTTGCGCATTTTGCGCTAGCAAATTAAACGGCCGAATAAAAAATAACAATCAAATATTTAATCGTATACCTGATGATTCTCATCGTGGACTGTCTCTACTCTGGAGGGTCGTATATACTGAGAGCCTTGCAAATTCTTTTTAATCTTATTGTATGCAAAGAAGAAACATATTCTTATGGTTTTCACTATTAATTGAAGATTACTATTGTATAGCCGCGCGTTTTTATTGACGTTTAGTGTATAGAGTTACAGAGGTGCATCATACCAAAGTCTTCTTAGCCTTGTGTACGCACATACATGGAAGGACTCAATCAACGATTAACTACGTTTTATCATACATTTGAGAGGTGTTCAAACGTAAAATAGCACCGATTTAATAGGCCAAAGCAGGTGGTATCACACTTCAAATGGATAACAAACCAAACATGATGAGAAGTTGTTGCAATTCAGCTTTTTTTCTTGACGGCATCAAGTCCTGGAACGAGATTTAAATCGATGCAGATAGATTGGCGTTGAACAAGCAGCCACAGCGCATACAACAACACCGAGGCCAGCTTCAAAAATAAATGAAGTGCTGGTTTGGCATTTTTTCGAGTGATTTGGAAACTGCTTGCATTCACGATGGATGCAGCGGAGCTGCCGCAGCTCTTTGCTTAGAGGAAGCTAAGCTAAAGTCACCGAGCTTACATTCGTTACAAAAATCAGTACGAGTGTAGCGGATCGCAATACGCTACCTCCAAGTACTAAAACCTTAACTGAGGTAAAGACGCTCTTTCGCTCAAAACTGAAACTGTATTTAATTGTTTTGGCTGCGGCAGAGCCGCCAATATCTAAAAGTCTAGCTTTTTCTAATTAACATAGTACTAACGGATTTTCCCGATTAGAGTCCGGTCTTCTATTTATTAGTACCGGACTCAAGCCGAGAAAAAACGGATTTTTTTCTAAAAAACAGAATGTTTTAGTGACAATGTGAAAATAGCGATTTTGGTTTTCGAAGTACGACACAAACTCAAAAGAAATACAAAAAAAACATTCTTAACAATTCTATTGAAGATACCTCCGACTCGGGTTCGCTACCGCGTGTTTGGGTCCATGATGGATCATAGGCGCTGTGCGTGGGGATTTATTCCTCGGTCATCTGATCTCATTATAGCGGGGAAGTGGATATTGTTTTTTTGAGGGCTCTATTCGGGACTGGACTCTAATCGGGAACATCCGTTACCTAATTAATATAGCAAAACCTAATTAATATAGTAATATGCTTTACTGCTGGCAATCCTGCCACGTGGTGTCTACGGTGTAGCCACACTAATGTGTGATTACACTAACTTGTGTAATACGCACCTATCAACGGTCACACGTTGCACTCTCCCCATTAAAATTGTGAATATCCCCAATTCACATTTTACGGTCGCCTTATACGAGACTCGCATGTCTGAGACACCTTCACGATCCTTGAGAACAACTTTGAACATTCTCTACTCTATCATCCTTGTATCTACGACACGCAAAACACCCAGTCAAGCTGGTAGCGAGGGCGGCGCCCGCAGGCAAAGTCTTTCTTCTTCTACTACACAGGCATTTCCGGCAGTACGTCCGCGGCTTCACGGAAAGCACATCTCAAGCCCTTGGCAACCGGGCGCCACACACCACGCCCGCCACGGCG